TGTAAAATTTTGATTTCAAGTATTTTTCCGAAAGTGAACTGGAAAGAGTTTTTTTTTATTTTTTTTTTTTTATTTTTTTATTTTTTTGGAATAAGCATTTTTAACCAAACCTTGTTTGGTTATATTTCAATAAATCTCAAATGTTCTTTCCTTTCAGTAAAGCTAAGAAACATACCAATGGGAGAAAAGAAACATATTAATGAACTGGTCAGAACAGCATTCCAAGATGTAGACACTATTGCATCAATCAAACCACTTCTATTTGAGGGAACATCAGTATGCTCAAATCAATGGATCATTACCTTTGAAACTATAGAGGATCCTGATTTAGCTCAAAGACTTCTCAGATACACACATGTGGATAACCATAAAGTCTCTACAGACTAGAAAAAAGCCCCAAAAAGTATATTATTACTGTGAACAAACAGGGCATATCAAGAAAGACTGTAAAGATCTTAAGGCCTCAATCGAATTCAGACAAAGACTGAAAGAGTATAAAAAACAAAGAGAACTTAAAACTGAGAGCCAGAGCCATGATGAATCCAAAACACAAATGCAATTCAGTTCAGAAAACCCTTATATTTTAGAAATAGTTCTAGAAAACACTAATAAGAGCTCTACAGAAACACAAAAAACACCCCAACCAGTAACAAAGACAACAATAGCAGAGACAATCTAGACAGGAGAATTCAATCCTACAGAAGCAACAGCAGAAACAAATGAGATAGAAACAACTGAAAATGAACCAGAAACTACAAATATATCTACAAATAATGATTTAGCAACAGATATGGAAACAGATTTCATATCTCACAAGGAAATGAACAACAATGATGAAAAAGAATTCACTCTAATTACTTCAAGGAAAGGAAAATATAAAAACAAGACCAAGAAAGGAGGCTATTCCCTATTTACTAGAGTCAACAAAACAGACAAGGAGAACAACCCTCAAAGGGTTTTTCTCCTCACGTTTAATTAATAGAACAACCACAAGTGTGGCTTAATATATATTGATTAATCTATGATCAAGATTGCCACACTGAACGTAAAAGGCCTTAACAACAACATAAAAGCCCAAAAAATATCATTTTTACTAAAATCCTACAAATTAGACTTAATACTTTTACAAGAAACAAATCTCAAAGATACTACAACAAGAAGATTTCTCTTGCAGCAATGGGGATATGACACAATCTGGACCTCCAAAACAGCTATTCTGGCTAGAAAAGCAAATATCAGGGTTTTCGAAATACAAGTCTCACACAATGATCGAGTAATCTTAACAAAACTAATATACAAGCACTGCTAGTATGCTATTACAAACATCTATGCTCCTCCAAGCCATGAAGACAGATATCAATTCTGGACACAAATGCTCTAAACATTATAGCAGGTAACTTTAACACAAATCTGGATCCTAGAATTAACTGTATTAGTCAAGCAGCTATACAAAATGACAACTCAAGAGATCTATTACTAGAACTTTTAAAAGACTTTATAGATACAGCAAGCTTCTTGAAAGATAACCCTTTTTTTGACTTTCTACCAGAATACACAGGGCAACCAAAAAAGGGCTAGATTGGACTATATATTCGTAGACACTAACTATGGCTGTCTTAATTTTGAAACCCAGACTCGCTTTGGCAACTCAGACCAATTTAGGCACAAATCTGCATCTTGTTGACGGTTTGACAGAAAATGCTGGTTTATACCAGAAGTGAAAACAGAATTAGAAAAAGTAATCAAGAATATCCAAGAAATTCAGGATTGGGATCTCTACAAATGCACAATATAATTAATAATTAGGGCCTACAAACCCAAGCCTTCACCAGAAAGAAGAATCCAACAACTCTATAAAAAGTTAAACAACTTTAATAACAAATTTGCTAAAAACTCTAAACATAGGGACTACAACCTTCTTGCTGAACACGCTAAAGCTCAAATCCAGAAAGAACTGACATCTCTTTCGGAAAATAGCAAATAAGATCTAATGCTAAATGGATCGAAGAAGAAGAAAAGTCCACAAGATACTTTTTTTCACTTTACAAGTCCAAGCATACAATTACAAGTGGCTCCAAAATACAAGATCCTGACAATACAAATTTAGATAAACCTCTCGAAATCCTCTAATACATCAGGGTCTTATATCAGAAAATATACAAAGCAGAGGACTTCAGCTAATGAACTAACTCAAAACCTTTCCAAGGTTACAGAAGAGCAAAACACACAACTAATTGAACAAATAAGCAAAGAAGAAATAAGCAGCATAATAGATATGCTGCCTTGTAACAAAACATCAGGATCAGATGGTCTTACTTATGAATTCTACAAAGACTTCAAAGAGAAACTTCTTCTTTTTCTAGCAAAACTCTTTAATCATGTACTTAACTCAGGCAATATACCTAACTCTTGAAACAAAAGCATAATCACTCTGATTCCAAAAAAAAATCAAACAACTTAGAGGATATCAACAACTGGAGGCCTAACTCACTTGTAAATAGTGATGCTAAAATCTTTATAAAGATTATAGCTAATCGCATCAATCCAATTTGTAATTAATTTATTGGCCCCATACAACAAGCATTCATCAGAGAAAGATCTATAACAGATACTGCCCTGGATATTTTAACAGTGCTAAAAAAATCAGACCGACCAGTCTAAGCAATACTGGCTTCTGCTACTCAACCAGCAAAAAGCATTTGATAGAATTATCTACAAATAGTCCTCAAAAAAATGAGCTTCGATTCAAAATTTACCAATATTGTCAAATACTCTCTTCTCAACCCAGCAAGCACATATTATAGCAAATGGCCAAATTTTAGAGCCCTTTAAAGTAGAACGAGGGGTTAGACAAGGAGATCCACTCTTTCTGCTGCTATACATACTAGCCTTTAACCTATTTCTAACAGCTCTACAACAAAACATGTGAGATATCTATATGAACAACCAAGTCTTCAAACTAGCAGCATATGCAGATAATCTGATAGTCGGAATCAGCTTTACAACAAACTGGAATAGCTTTACAAATATTATTAACAAATACAAAAAAGCATCAAACGCTAAAATCAACAAACACAAGTTGATTCTAATCCCACTCACAGAAAACACTCGCAGAACTCAACTGAAAGAAGCAGAGCTACTACAAGTACATGATGCTGACAAGGCTCTAACAATTCTGGGATATGAAACAGACATTACTGGCAACCTATCCAAGAATGTCTGGCAAAAACTAACAAAAAAAATTAAAATGAGCATGGACCATCTTTCGATATGTAACCTTTCACTAAAAGAAAAGATACTAGTAGCTAAATCACTGCTTATCTCCAAAATCTGATACCTTGCCTACCTGCTACCACCTAGTAGAAAACAACTTAACGAAATCAATACAATTATCTCAAACTAGACCAAAAACAAATCCAAAATGCTCTCCTGATACTCAACCTTTCAACTAAGCTAGGAAAAGGAGAACTAGAGGTTCCAGTACTTAAAGACATGCTAGATACAAGACTAGTCTCAATCTGGATCAAATTTCTCTCAAAACAGAAAGAAGTATTATCCAGTCTGATATCTGAAACAAAAGAAATAGAACAATCAATGCAGCACTTACAGCACAGAATATAAAACTAAAAGGATGGCTGAACAGATAGAAACCTTATCTAAAAGCATGGATCAGAACTAAAGGCCAAGTGGTGGCAACGAACAACTAGCTATGGACCATTTTTCGATATATAACCTTTCGCTAAAAGAAAAGATACTAGTAGCTAAGTCACTGCTTATCTTCAAAATCTTATCTGCTACCACTTAGTAGAAAACAACTTAATGAAATTAATACAATTATTTCAAACTGAACCAAAAACAAATCCAAAATGCTTCCCTGATACTCAACCTTTCAACTAAGCCAGGAGAAAGAAAGACTAGAGGCTCCAGTACTTAAAGACATGCTAGATACAAGACTAGTCTCAATCTGGATCAAACTTCTCTCAAGCAATCACTTCTGGGCCAAAACAGAAAGAAGCATTATCCAGTCTGATATCTGAAACAAAAGAAATATAACAATCAATGCAGCACTTACAGCACAGAATATAAAACTAAAAGGATGGCTGAACAGATAGAAACCTTACCTAAAAGCATGGATCAGAACTAAAGGCCAAGTGGTGGCAATAAACAACTGGCCCTGGCCTCTAGAAGATCTAAAAATAGAACAAGCGATAGCCAAAAACTATTCAGTTAAAAATTGTACAGAGGCCTTATGCAAAAAACTACTGCTAGCCTCTACTCTAATACTGAGCTCTGAAAACCTACAACAGGAATTAAATATCTGCATTAAAATAAAATTCATCCAGAACAAGAAAAGACATTTTTTGGCAACTACTACACAGAGCACTTCCACTAGGATACCGCTTGGATCATATTTCACAAAATCTAGATTTTAACTGTCCAAACTGTGCTTATACAACTCAGACTATAGCAAAAGTATTTGGAAACAAGAATACAAAATGCTCAAAATTATACAGAAGACCTACAACCAAACTCAATCAAGGAAATCTTCCTGGCTACTAATATAAAAAATCCTAAAAAGCATCACACAGCAATCTGGGTTCATATTCATACAATTTACGAAATTTGGCTTTGGTATACTCAAGCTAAATAGGAAACAATTTAATCTCAGAAAATATAGCAATTAGTTTATCAAAAATGAGACTACAAAAAGAAATTAAACTTTTACAAAAGTTAGGCAACAAAAAAGGTGACTCCAAAATGGGAAAACCTAACAATATTTTAAAATTCATTAATCTAAATTTGTAAATATGTGTATTATCTTATAAATTGAATGAATAAATAAAGTATGCTTAGATGTGGTTTTTAAAAAAAAAAAAAACTTAAACAATATAACTTTGTAGTGATCAATCATCTAATGGAATCAAACATATGTCTAGTCTCATTTATTTTTGTACATGTAGTACTCTGCAAAAATCAAATCAAAATTTGAATTTGAATCAAAATTTTGATTCAAAATTTGATCTAATGATCTCAAAAGTAAATGTTCGCAGTTCATAGTGGTTAGTTTGTGATTTTAATAGTAGGTGTGTTGATGATTTCAACAATATGAATTCATAATTTAATTAGTATAATACATATGTTCACAGTTTTAATGATGGATGGATTTTTGATTTCAACAATATGAATTCATAATTTAATTAGTGTAATATGGTTTTAATAAATAGATAGATTTTCATATGTGTTTACAGTTTTGATAATGAGTAGTTAGTAATTTTAACAATAGATGGTTTGTGATTTCACAATAGGTTTGTTTAGAATTTTAACAATAGGTTAATCATTTCAAATATTGGGTAAGTTCATGATATTTAGCATATAATACAATACTTATATTTGTTATTTAT